CATGTACGGCTCCATTTCGGTAAGATTGGTGAACACATATATAATGATTGTGAGCCACTCTTCGTTTTTCAACAACAATGAGGTCGCATCACTCGCACTTCCAAGTTGCCCTTGGAAAAGGCTAAGTTTTGATTCATTTTCACCAGCATTGTAACGAGGGGGTCGATTATGCACGCTAGGAAGCTTGTCACCATAGTATGCTTGTGTGAAGTTAGTAACCTCCTCTAGAATGAATGCCTCCGCCATGGAAGCCTCGATTTTGCATTTGTTTCTGCATTTCTTCCGAAGAACCTTTAGACATCTCTCGATTGGATAGCACCAACGGGCCTGCACGGCCCCCCCATTCGTACCACATACGGGAGGTGCAGAATCAAATGCTGCATCGGGTTGAAGAAGCCGAGTGGAAAGATCATCTTCAACTTACAGAGCAACACAGGTGCTATTTTTTCCAATTCTGCAACCACGCTACGAGATAACTCCTTGGCACAAAGCTGGCAGAAGAAATAGCTCAACTCGGCTAGCGTCTTCCACACATGCTCAGGGACATAGCCTTGGAGCATCGCCGGAAGAAGACACTCAATCCATATGTGATAGTCATGACTCTTCAGGCCGTTGATTCGCAAGGTAGATAAGTTCACTCCCCTCCTCAGATTCGCTGCATACCCATCAGGGAACATTAATGTTTTGAACCATTCTAATACTTCTCTCTTTTGTTCCGGTTTCAATCTATAATCGGCCTTAGGCCTTGTCCATTTCTTGCCGCTTCTAGGAGGTTGCATGTGTTGCTTTGGTCTATCACATATCATTGCCAGGTCCAGTCTCGCCTTTACATTGTCCTTCGTCTTATCCTTAATGTCCATGATCGTTGCCCAAAGCGCCTCGGCAACATTCTTCTCGGTGTGCATTACATCAATGTTGTGTGGAAGAAGAAGGTCGTTATAATAGGGGAGCATCATCAAGGGCGACTTATGAGTCCACATATGCTCCTCACCATATCCCACGAACCTACCATTATTTCATTGATCCGGAGAGCATCTATCTCGATCATGAACCTCGGCACCGGTCATCATCGTGGTGTGTGGTGCGTAACCATGACACCTTTAGTAAAGTTCTTGATGTCTCGTCTGAATGGATGCTCAGAGGGAGGAATTGTCGATGTTTGTCGAACGCGGAATATTTGCCGCCCTTCTGCAGCCAATTGAACTACAGAGCTGCCTTGCACAAGGGGCATGGAAACTTCCCGTGAACACACCAAGCGCTGAATATCCCATATGCTAGGAAGTCATGCATGGAGTATGGATACCAAACATGCATGTTGAAGTTTGTCTTTGTAGCTCGATCGTATGTCCATACACCATGGTCCCAAGCATGGACCAGTTCATCGAACAAAGGCTCCATGAACACACCCATGTTATTCCTAGGGTGTTCTGGAATTATCAACGACAAGAACACATTATGTCGGTTGGAAGGAGACGCCAGTGGGGAGATTGAGAGGGATAACAAACACGGGCCAACAAGTGTATGGGGCAGCCATCATTCCATAAGGATTGAACCCATCATTGTTGCCAGTGCAACACGCACATTACGTGCCTCCCCACTTTTGTTACGATGAATGTTATCAAAGTGATGCCATGCTTCACCATCGGCTGGATGTACCATCTTCTCAGGATTGTATCTTTTTCCATTTTTGTGCCATATCATCTGCTTTCGCGGACTCCTCTGTCATGAATAGCCGTTGGATCCTCGGTATGAATGGAAGGTACCGTAGGATTTTCACGGGTATGACTTCTGCCTCTTCTCACCATCACGAGTCTACCTCAGATACCTAGAGGATTTACACTTTGGACAAGATTTTGCATCCGCGTGTGCTTTTCTAAAGAGGACGCAGCCCTTCGGACAAGCATGTATCTGCTCATACGGCATCTTAAGTGCACAAAGGACCTTCTGCGATTCATACATGTTCTGTGGCAGAAGGTGACCGGCCGGAAGGATGGAGCCAATAACTCATCAACATTTCATCAAAGTTCTCTCGACCGAGGTTGAACGGGACTTTAAGGCCATTAAGTGTGAAATGCCATCAAGCTTTGAAATCTGTGTGTGGCCATGAAGGGGTTTCCTTCCGCAGTACATGTCGTAATACACCTTTGTGCTTGCCTCTAGCTCCTCCTCCTGCTGCTGCCTACGTCCGTCAGCGAAGTGTGTTTTGTGAAAGTCATCTAACCAAGCTGCTACCCCGGCATCAGCATTGTAATCCTCGACACGTGGTCTCACCACCTCCTTTGTCACACAATCGGCTTCACCGTGGTGGGTCCACTGGGTATAGTTTTTCGTAAATCGATGCCTAGCCAGATGTGAAGTCATCACCTCCTTTGTCTGCCTCTTTCTGTTCTTACAGTTGATGCAGGGACAAAAAACGGCACGCGCTCCGGGGGCCTGGTCAAATACTTGCTTGATGAAAGCCTCGGTCTTGTCGACCCATTCTTCGGTAATCTCATGGGCGCTCCGGCGGCCCGAGTACATCCACTCACGGTCATCCATCCTCTAACATATATATCACCAAGTAATAAATATAACCATGGACTTGCATCTACATGTCGTTCCTACCATCTAATAGGTAAGGATAGGTCCTAATCCCACCCGAGGATGCGTAGATGGTGTTAGTTCCCATGGTCTGGTCCTATCCGAAACAGAAATTCGGCAGCACCTCCCGCTGTTCTTTGGATACATGTCCCGGCAGGAGATTGTGTATCCAGAGAACAACAGAACATATCTTGTCGAAACTCATCTCGGATCAGAGCAAACCATGGAAACTAACACCATCTGTGTATCCTCGGGCTGTCCAAAAAACGTGGACAATTCAAAACAGATACGATTATTGATATGCAAAGATCTGCATATTTCTAACCGTATCTCTTTCGAACGGGAGACACCTAACTGGGTTATGTGGAGATACATGACCAGGACAAAGAAAGAGTGGTTATACCTTAGGTGGCGGTGAAGTCAGGGGCTAAAGGGCCATGGCGGGTCGGTGCAATGGCGAGGCGACGCGGTGCGGGCAGACCTGGGGACACCGGGGTACTCGACTCGGCTCCTGCAAAAAGAAAGAAAGAAGCAAAATAACGTCAACTCAAAAATTCGGCAGCATCTCCCCTGAACGGTGAGGTTTCCAAACCTAAAGAAAACCACGGCACAATGGCCGACAACCACATATATATCAAGGAACCACATGCAGCTTAATTATCAACTACTACTACTCTAACTACTACAACTACTACTGCACTAACTACTACTACCACTACTAATACCACTACTACAAACATGCAGCCCAGATTTGTCGATGAGGACATTCCCTGTCAATCCAAGACCAGGTGACAATCAAGTTCGCAGATTGTACAAACAGGGCAAGCAGCATCCGAAGCAACAAGCACCACATTTCTCACAACTTACAACCGCGGCCTGACGTGAATCCGCTCACTCTGCAGTCGGTCAAAGAGCTAGGCTGAAGCTCTGAAAACTCCGGAGCTGATCGCAGGAACCAGGTGCAACCTGCAGCACTGGGACGGCACTAGATTTCTTTCTCTCTTTTTTTTTTCCTTTTTGGGGGAACGACGGCACTAGATTTCAGTCAAAGCATGCATGGAACTATGGAAGTAGGGAGAGCAGATATGCATGCATGCAGCCGGTCAAAGCCACAAGATTTCAGCTAGGAAGAACTGCCAGTTGATTTTGCAAATTGTTTGTTTAGATATGGTGGCCGTGGCCGTGACCGTGACCCGGTGACTCAGCCGAGCTCCAGGGTCCCCAGCCGGCCAGCCCTCAGGTCATGTGACGGCGAGCCAGCCGCCTGCCAGCAGCAAGGGGCCTGAGACTGCGGAAACGAAATGATGAAGCTGTGACTGCGTGACTGCCTGCGTCTGCGCTGCGTGCGTGGTGCCCAACGCCGCCGCAGCGCAGGCAGATGGGAGATGGGGGATCATGGGAGGAGATGGCTGGCTGCCTGGCTGGCCCAAAAGGCAAAAGCTGCGTGCAGGGCGGGAAGCACCACCTTTGGCTGTTTGTTTTCATCGTGTAATCTCCCGCTGGCCGCTGCTGGTGCTGGAGTCGCCGTCGCCCAGCCCCCAGCCCCCATCCCCCAGACGATTATTCTTATTCCCTTTACTTCGCCTCCTGTCATCATCGCCGACGCTCCCGCCCAGTAAAAAAGGCCACGGGCTAAACACCACCAAGTGCCCTTGCCCCACATTCCCACAACCACAGGGCATGCCTCTGCCTGTGGCTGTGGAGTGTGGCATCGGCACTGGCAACTTGACATGGCAACGCACAGGCACACCAGCTTGCTCTCTGTGTCACTGTGTGTGCGTGTGTGTACCCTTCGTGGTGCGTGGCTGTACTGCACACATGCAGGGCTCGCAGGGACTGTGGCCTTTTACCTGCCACTGGGTCTCCTAGCACATAAAAGGAAACGTGAAAGCACGTACCGTGCTTACAGTACACCGCAATGGTATGGCGCGAGGGAGGGATAGTGAGGGCCAGGGCCAGGGCCATGCCCGCGCGACACGCACTGGCAGGCGCACAGCCACGGGCTGCAGTGCAGGCACACCATAGATCTCGTCTCCCTGGGTTCCACAGCTGCCTTGCCACCATCGAACGGACGGCTATGGCTTGGTCGCTTTGACTTGGTGCCTGCCGTGCCTTGGGAAATGCATGCCATGCGATGCGCCTGGGCTGCGGTGATTGCAGAGCGCTGAACGGCCGGTGCACGCCTCTGAGCTGAATGCGACCTGGACCGCCCAACTTCTCTCGCTTTTTCCTTAGTGCTGCGACTGTCATATATTGGGGGATTTGGAAGCCAGCCTAGATGCCTGCTAGTGCTAGTGCAATGGTTGGTCCCGAGACTAAACTAGCCTCCTAGATTTTGATGTTGAAATATTTGAAAAGGCTGTGTTGATGAAACTCATGCTGCATGGGAAATTAAAAACCAGGAAATTTTGGACGTGGACATGGTGAGCATGGCTGCAGAATATATGCCTTGATCACCTTCTCTAATTGCTGTAATTTTGTTGAGACCACAGCTTATCTAAATCATGATATTTGGTTGTTTGCAGCAAGTAGCAATGGATGAAAGACAAGATCTACAAGCTGTAACTGGAAATGACAAAAGGAATATGTCAGAAGATACAGGTACGAGTGTTTGTGGTGAATATCAAATTAACTCAACTGGTATGGAGGATGTCAAGTCTACCAAAGGATTACAGAACCAAGAATGTTTGGAACAGAAAGAAGTGAGTGTGCCTGCAAAATTATTTTTTGTTTGGTAACCTTATCTGATTCCTGAAATATGGTTGTTTGCAGCAACTAGCAAGGGAGGAAAGACACAATTTAGGAACAACAACTGAAAATAACAAAATGAATATGTTAGAACATGCAGACGTTCTTGTCTGCGGGCAATATCAAAATGGTCTAACTCATACCAAGGTCAAGCCTACCAAAGGAATACAACTGTTTTGTTTGATTTGCCCTATCTTTTCTATTTTTATGCTCCCTCTGTCCCAAAGAGTATCGTTCTAGTCTTCTAGATTTGTCCAAGAGTACTTGGCGCAACCCTCGATGAACTAGACGAACAAGAATCTGAACGAGGAGGTAGAATCCCTCCGTCGGCAACTCTAGGACGGGTTCAAAAATCAGTAATCAGTAATCTCAACTAACCGGTGGCCATGGGTCCTGACATATGAAGAACCTCAAACAGGATCCGATGGGATCGAATCGATCCATGGGCACGGGGAGTAGATCAGATGAACAACAGCGCTCAGCCACAAATCAATCGTCATAGCGGCAGTCGCTTAGGGAAAAAGGAGGAGTGAGGAAGAGTACTGACTCGGTGCCCTTCTGGCGGAGGATGCAGAACTGCTTGGGGGAGAGGACGGCGCGCCACTCCTCCTCGCTCCTCTGCTTGCGGGGGCGGGACGAATGACTGCGTCGTTGGCGTGCGGGGGCGAGACGCCGGCGGCCGTGCGTGGCGGGGCTGGGGCGGGCCGGCGGCCGCCGCCGGCGCGCGCGGGCGGACGTGGCGGGATGGGGCGGGCTGGCCGGGCTGCGGCGGCGGCGAGGCTCGGGCGGAGCGGCGGCGGCAGCGCGCGCGGCCGGGCGTGGCGGGCTGCGGCGGCGGCGGGGCTGCGGCCGAAACGGTTCGGCTTGCGGGGCTGCGCCGAAACGGTTAAGTGGTGAGTCCACTTTGCCGAGAACCAGATCTGGGAGGCTCTCGGCAAACCTTCCCCCTTTGCCGAGAGCCCCCATATCCAGCTCTCGGTAAACTTAATTTTTTTTTTCAAATTTGGTTCGAATTTTTTAACTAGCTAACTGCACAATAAATATTAAAAAAATAAAAATTATTATTTGCCGAGAGTAGCTCTCGGCAAACTGAACAAAAAATGATATTTCTAAAAAAAATTAAATCTTTCCCGAGAGCAGCTCTCGGCAAACCTCTTTGCCGAGAGCCAGCTCTCGACAAACCATTGATCCAGGCTAGGTAAAAAAAAAAGAAATTTGTGCCGAGAGCGGGCCTAGTTGCTCTCGGCAAAGAGCCTTTGCCGAGAGCAATCCCCTGAAGCTCTCGGCAAATAATATCCAAAAAATAATAATAATAAACAGCAAACGGCTCCGGAAAAATACGGAATTTTTGCCGTGTTACAACTTATGCTCTCTAATGGCTATACAAAAAGTTTGGAACTCCAAAACTAATTTGACCGTGACATTGTTTGAAAATCCTAATGGATCCTTCTCAACTTTATGAAACTTATTTGGAGATGTCTCAGATTGTAAGAATCATACGCAACCACTTGTGCGAAACATTTTCAATTTTTTACCACAGCCTCCAAGTGTGATACCATGACTTTATTGCAAATATCACAATTTTCCGACTTCGTTTCCTTTTTTAAGAATTTTTAAATCATTGGGCGACATGTTCGTGGTCTTCGATTCGTAAAATAAAAGGTGCAAAAAAAACATCAACAAGATGTTATTTGCCCTCAATAATGCATAAATAGCATGAATATCATTTTCTACTTAATTTTTCCCGTGTTTAAATCAATCGCTGTTCAAATTTTAATCGATTAAAAAAACTCCTTGAAATGCAATTAATTAATTATATATAGCAAATAATTACAAAAATTCACAAAATTTTAATATTGAGTACAACCTGTAGTATGTCTATAGAGAAAAAAGTTTGGAGCATATGAAAGAAAAAATAATTTAATTGGAGGGAGTTAGGAGAAGAGAAACACATGCACATGAAATATAGAAACCACATTTGCCGGGAGCCTGGGAGGGGCTCTCGGCAAATATTTGCCGAGAGCGGCGCTCGACAAAGAGTTTTGCCAAGAGCAGTAACGGAGGGGTTCTCAGCAAAGCGGTGACGCCGTCAGGGCAGGTCACGGCTATGGGCCCGCGGCAATGTTTTGCCGAGAGCCTGATTTTGCCGAGAGCGCGGCCTACGGCAAAGGACCGTTTTGCCGACGGGCATTTTTTGCCGAGCGCGGCTCTCGGCAAAACGGCCCACTTCGCCGAGAGCTGTTGCTTGCCGAGATGCAGGCCCACGGCTATCCTGTCACTTGCCGACGGCCGGTGTTTGCCGAGAGCCGCGCTCGGCAAACGTTTTCTTTTCCGAGGGCCCGAGTTTTTGCTCTCGGCAAAAATCTCGGATCTCGGCAAAGGACGTTTTTCCGGTAGTGAATATCTCGAAGCCGTTTAATCCGTTCTGCTCGACGTCGGACAACTACACCGACGGCAGCCAGTACAAGAAGAACCTGGACCAGTTCCTGGCCGCGCTCCCCACGGCGGCCGGCGACAACGGCTGGTTCTACAAGGGCAGCGCCGGGTCGGGGCCCGACGCGGTGTTCGGCCTCATCATGTGCTTCGCGGACCGCGACGCGTCCGATTGCCTCTACTGTATCTCCACGGCGTCAGCCGGGATCACGACGGCGTGCCCGGGCAGCCGGAACGTGAGCGCGGCGTACGACGTGTGCGTCCTCCGGTACTCGGCCGCGCCGATCCCCGCCACCGCGGACCTCGGCTACGTATTCGCCGAGCCGCTGACCGCCATCGGCATGCCTGTGACCTCAGAAGCTGTGCCGGACGCCTATGTGCCGCTGATGGCCGCCCTCTCAAGCGGCATCGCCTTTGACCCGTCGCGGAGTTTCAGAAGCAGCATGGCGTACTCGAGCACGGGCACGCAGGAGATGAAGATGTACGGGCTGGCACAGTGCACCAGGGACCTCAACGGCAGCGAGTGCTCGACCTGCATCAGGAGCTACGCCATCAGGCTGGGGAAGCTGTTTCCCAGTCACACGGGATGCTCCATCAAGGGCTACAGCTGCTACCTGCGCTACCTGGTGTCGTTCCCGATAGACATCACTCTGCCGCCGGCGCCGGCGCCGGCGCCACCTACGTCTTCGCCGCCAACTCCAGGTACACATCCTCCTGCTGCGGCTTCCTTTATCCGTTTATCGACATCGACTGATGCAGGGCAACAACGTTGACGCGGTCTTTTGCATCCCTCCACAGAACCATCAAAGACAGGGATCGTGATTGGCGTGTCTGTCGGCTCCGTCTCGATCATGATCATCCTGGCCATCTTCTCCATATGGCTCCTTCGCCGGCGACGGAGGAGGCAGGCTAGAATCCTTGAGGAAGCGAGGGAGCAAGAGCTGGGAGAAGGACGGTCATGATGGTCGTCGGCCTCTGGTGCGCGCACCCTGACCGGAGCCTCCGACCGTCCATCCGGCAGGCCGTCAGCGTGCTGCGGTCTGAGATGCCACTGCCCAATCTGCAGGCGAGGATGCCGGTGGCAACCTATGAGCCACCACCTGATGCCTTCTACTATACATCTACCACTGTCACAAGCGTTAATAGCAGCACCACTCAATCCAGCATGACAATCACAACTGTCCTGCCCAAATGACCTCAGATCATTCGCGACTGCAGAGACAACAAATTGACAATGCCCGGAGATCTTTGGCACACTGCTTTTGAATGTAATAAGTACCTCATCATGTTCCTTTAAAATACTTTGCAAGTATTATTATTTGTTACTTGAAATTGTTCTTGACCCACCGCATTTATTGGCATAAACTTTATATAGTTATCGTCAAATAATTTCTTGGGTTAAATTAAGTTATCGTTGTCTCTCTCTTCTATTCCTTTTTCCCGCACTCCTATCTTGTGGCTATATAGTTATTTCTACTGAGTATAATCAGGGAAGTCTTGAATTATCTCTTGTTGAACTTCATTCCTCGAGAAATAACTATCCAAGTTCCTTAGCTCTCTTTTAAAATTTAATGTTTTGAATCTTGGAGAGATCTGTAGTTTCCTTTTTGCTATAAAATATCATGGTGTTAACCATAATGGAGCTCAATTCTGTTGGTGCCATTTTCTGGCTCAAGCATGCATGCGTTGGATGGCCTGATGTCGTACCAACATCCACAGGCGCCTTAAGGCTTCCAAAACCATGGAACCATCGCTAATGGCAATGAGCTGTTAGTCTGAGACCTGCTACCATACCGCTCTCACACTATTATCGACCATGCCATGACCACGTTTGTTTTCTCTTGTGACCAACTTCTCGCAAAAGAAGGTGAAATGATGTCAGCTACACTGATCTTGAGCTTTTCATGCTTGTCTATCGATGAATTGATGAACCAGTTGCACATAGCACGTAGGACATCGATAGCCAATATGCATAATCACAGCAGCCAAAACATGTTACTCCTTATGTCAATTCATTCAAATTTAAGCTATGGTAGTTGGAATGGACATGTTTTGTTTTCGCTTTGTCGATGTCAACGATGCTGTCAAAATTTTTCGGCCAAGAGGACAGCCTAAGATGAGCGCAGTGGGGGGAAGGAGCTGCATGAGTACTGAAAGTGCATCGATGATTTTTTATGGTGTACAAAGACATTGGTGTCCAAGCGTGCGACGCTGATGCAACCGTATCTAGCAGATGCGGTCTACAGACGCGCTGCAGGGAAATTTTTTTTCCATGGCTGCCCCGTTCGCCCGGGCCACACTGGCCACTGGCACCTAGGCCCGGCCGGCCAAGCAGGGTCTCTCACTATCAGGGCCGGTTGCAGGAGGCCAAGTGGCTGGCGCTGTACAGGGCTGGGAGTTGGGACGGTGCTGGGCATGTGCCGATTCTGCAATAATCCACAACAGATCTAATGAAGCATGCACCACCGGCGTAGAAGAAATAGGATCAGGTATTGATAAATCCCATACTATGCTTGCAACAGGTGACCACGTGCTTGATTATGACTAATTAATATCACTAGCAAATATGGCCGTACGTGAACGAGAGAAAAAAAGCTATCAAACGTTCGACTTGTTCGTTTTAGCTTGCTGCGCAGCTACAACGGTACTATTCATGTGTTGATAGAGTTAGATATCAAGTTCCGTGACTTCTTTTGAGGATCCACAAGAATATCTAATTTTAATATATTATTAAAGTCGGCAAGGGGTTAGTTGTCATCTTGTCAATAACTGGTATCTCTATTGATGAGTACGAAGTATGACCGAGATCTCTCGATTTCCACATGTTAGCCCGTGTTGGGATTTGTACTGGTATATATGAACAACTTAGAGATTTGCACCAGTATATGCGGATAACTTGGAGAAACATTTAATTTGATTAGATTTGAGGACAAACGGATCAAGATTTCAGTTTATAGTTTGATTAGTTAGGCCATCAATTGATTTATGTAATAATAATATTTTTTTCTAATAAAATTACGTCGACAACTTAAGGATGGAAATATTTATATTTATTTATTAGGCAATGGTCCAAGTTTCGAAGACCCGTAGTACTATGTTTACTATTTATTTTTTATCTTTATAAGAAAAAATAGAGTTACATTTAAAAACAAAAAAAAAATCACGAAAAGAGTGGCACGGGACGCCACAGTCCTGCAGCAGGGGCAGCAAGACATAAGGACTACGGAACATCTCCGAACGAACTGGACAGAAAAAAAGAGATGAAAATGAGACGGAAACGAGAAAAAGAACGCGGACTGAAAACGGTTTATTCGGCCTTTTGGCCTGCTGAACGCCCGTGTGGGCTTTAACTGAAAATCGATTTTTTAAGACAGTTTTAAAACCACTTCAGCGGTTTTTAAAACCGTCCCTAAAAACCGATTTTAACTGTCTCAAAAAAAACATTTTCTTTGCTAGCGATGCCCCGCAAGCCCACTTAGCTACCAGCTTGATCTGAACCGTTGATGCCAATCCGACGTACTCAGGAACAAAACCAATCCGCCGCTGTCAAAAAAAAACCCTAGCTTCACTTTCTCTTCTTCCTCCGTCCTTCTCGCGTCGCGCAGCTGAGAGAGCATGGCAGACGAGCAGGTGGCGCCGGTGTTGGAACGCGCGGAGCCAAGCTAAGGGGTGCCACCGACGGGAGCGCGCACAGCAGGCTGACCCGTGTCGCCGCCAGGCCGCTCTCCGGAGCTCGCGTGCAACGGTGACCGCGCGCGGCTCCGTCGAGCTGCCCTGCCATGGCGCTCAGGCGTCCCGACGGTCGCGAGCAACGAGCCCAGGAGCCCCAGCAGCCGCGTGGCCCGCGTCCCTGGTGGCTGCACGGGCGGCTCCATCGAGGCGCCCTGTAGTGGCGCTCAGGCGTCCCGGCGGTCGCGAGCGGCGAGCCCAGGTGCCCTGGCGACCGCATGGCCCGCATCCCTGGTGGCCACACGCCTCCACACCATGGTGTGCTGCCGCCGTCGCGTTGGCAGCTTGGGAACCCGCGTGAGGCCTGACGTGCGCGCCCGACGTGCTCGCTCCCGATGCGACCCCAGTGTGCGCTCCCGTGAGCAACTGCATCGCCGAGGTTGTCCACGCCAATTTTTTTATTTTATAAGTTGTCTTTCTTAAGTTAATCTGATTTGGTATTGGATTTGGATTGCTGTGCTTTGTGGATTTTGATTCGGACTCAATTTGGTCCTGGGCACCTTCTTGTAGATTTGGGCTTGCCGATTTGAAACTCGAGGATACAAAGAAAACAAAACATTTTTTATCACATGAAGAAATATGAAACACTGTAAGGAAATATGCACCCCTGTCGCGTACATAAATACACGCGGCATATATATAGTCTGAAGTTTGAACAACATGAAGTCTGGCCGGCCGGCATCCGATCCGTCACTTATTTGTTTTACGCCGCGTATATACGGCGTACGCCAAAGTTCAAAGCAAACATAAAACATACATTACTTGGTAGAATATATAACAGCACAAGCAACCCTGCATACATATAGTTTACGATTTGTTAGTCATCATCATATCAGAGGTAAATAAATAAATAGTAAAAGAACGAAAGAGAAGTAGAAAACACACCGGCTGGGCAGATCGATGTGCATCGCTACATGGTCACGTCACACTTTCCATACATCATCAGGAACGCTTTTTTTCTTGGGGTTTAGGCAGTCGTCGATGCACAGACCTGTCTTATCCTTGCATTTTTGACATCGATCCGCTGGCCCTGTACAATACCCCAGGTCCACGCAAAGGAGGTTATATAGTTGTGTTTTGGCAGATTTCTTTGCATTCCTCCGGCGTCAACTTCTTCCCCTCCGCCGTCTCCCACGCAAAGGAGGCTGGGCGGCCAATGCTGAGGACGAGCAGGACGCACAAGGCGCCGGCGGCCACCTTTGAAGCGGTGGAACCAGCTGCTGAAGCCATGACGACGGATATGGTGGAGGGAGGACGTACGACGCAATATAATGCAAAGAAAGAGATATATATAGCTATCTAGCCGCAGGTACGATCCTCTCGCAATTTACGGCAAAAATAAAAGAGGAAACCGGAAATCACGTTCACGTACGTCCTCTCGCAATTTACGGCAAAAATAGGAAACCGCAAAAATAGCAATTTATTTTTTATGACAAACATAGGAAAATGCAAACGGTATCACAGGGTGGAGACAGCGTCGGGGGCGTGTGCGTGGGCGCTGGGTGGGGTTCTGGCTTCAATGACGTGCATGACGCGGATGATTTTGGCCTTAGGATCTGGAATGAGTAAGAGAGAAGATGGTTTGAGAAGATACCCTAGTGATTCATTTGTATGAAATTGGATTACTTTGGCACACAGATTAGGGTGGACTTAGATTAGGCATGACTAGAGGGGTGGTTGAGCGGGGTGGATTTATAGTAAAGAAATTTTTGGTGTATATTATAGAGGTGCAGAGATGAGGCTTATAGCCTACCAATAACTGGTCAAACTTTTTTTCTCATGAACTATTAATGTGTGCCGAAATAGCAAGGTCTTTTTTGTATTATAAGAATAGGCACATGAGTTTATCTGGCCAAAAACAATTGCACAATAAAAACCTTATATATGTCGGGTTGGTTCTTGTGTAAATTTGAATGCATGTGCTTAATAGTTGAGTTGGGCTGGTTCTTGTGTTCTATTCTCTCTTGGTTGTCATGTTAGTTCCATTTGTTTTGTTTGCGTGTGGGGATCGCTGACGTGCAGACGTAGAGATTCACCTGCCTAGAACACCTGGTTGCATGTATGAGGGTTAAAAGTTCTCGGTGTTTCTTGAAAATCCTTGAAACTAAATGCTTTAAAAGTTCTTTGATGTTTGTAGTTTTATAGCGTAAGGGTTAACTAAATCATGTCCAAAATGGCAGCATGCGTGTGTAGTTTTATATATACTAGTAATATGCCCGTGCTAACTGACAAG